GAATGGATGATGATGGGAGCTGGATGAGAACGACTTTTGGGAAAGCAAGTTTATGTGAAATTCAATGTAAACGTCAGCTCTACTCATATCATTATGGGAAAATTCTTCTACCATTCTTTCATCACCTCAAACGAAATTGGGTGAATACATCTCATATTACTTTGTTCTTATTTTCGCAACTGGGTCACATCGGCAGAAAAACCTATAGGAACGCACCATGTCCGGATTCCATAGTATGCGTGATGATTTCCGGAGTCGGACCGTGGACTTGGTACATTCCCAGACTTAATGTGCATCTTTGACGAGTTGTGGTGTCGTGCAACCCTCACTAACAATGCCGACGAAACGTCTGGGAATATACCAAGTCCACGGTCCCGTTCCGGAAATCATCGTGCACACTATGGACTCCGAACAAGGTGTGTTCCTCTATGTCTTCCTGCCAATATGAACAAGTTGCGAAACGAAGGTCAAACAATTTCTAAACAATACTATTGTTTATTGCAATATGATTGTCCTTTCCCTATCCGTTATAATCGAATTTAAGTATTACGAACTAACTTGTACAGTCCTAAAAGTTTCGTTATAACGAGATTTGACCTGTGTTTTATTTCTATTGTGCCGCAGTCTCTGTCATTAGTAAGATCGGTTAATTGAATGCTGAAGCACACAGAATACTTCTTAGGGAATACAAAGACAAAACACTGGAAAAAACACTACAACTAAAGGCAGGTTCAGACAATTATGGTCCTTTTCTTACTAAAACTATCTATATTAATGTACGTCTGTTTGTGCTGTAGAGATATAGATTAAAGAGAAATTAGTTGGGTTTTTTAAAGTTGTTACTTTTTAAGCAGTTTTGAGACTTAACATTCGCCTCGTCTCTCATGACGCCAGTCAGACTGAATGCTTGAAACTTTTCACCCCAACCGAAGGAGCATGCCTAGAGGACAGCATCCACCAGAACGTCCCAGCAACACCAAACGACATTACATCAGGCGGAACCTTTCATTTTATTCTGGTGAGATCTCTTGAGGGCACACTTTACCGTTTAAGAATTCGTCAAGTCACCCGTTTCCCTCAGCCAGTCTTTTGGCTGGGTCCGACTCCACTCGCCAGGGTGCCACACATACCGACTCTAGGCAACACGACAAAACGTTTGCCCACATGCTCATGCACATGTCCGCGTGTACCCCTGCATGTACCCCTAACCGAACTCGCCTCCCTTAGGCGTCCGGAGGCGTAATTGTGCCTCCACATGCTAGCAACGGTCCGGTAACTGGGCGAACCCTTGTTGGCCGGTTAGCGACTGGCAAGCTCGACATTTCAACATCGCCGCAGGCGACTGACTGGCCCCCAGTCGCGGCAACGATAACTGGGGTCATAGGAACACGTTGACTGTACGTGTCACTCGAGTGAAAAGGGGTTGTTGCCTGCTGCCAGACATTTCCTGTCTTTCATCTTGTCATTCATAGCTCCGCTTCTCCATCGTTACCTCCATGAGCCCTCCGACTGCATCGACATACAATTCGGCGTTTCTGTCGTCAGCTCAGGTTAGACGAGGCACTTCTATCGAATGGGTCTTTAGAAATAATTGAACAGCAAAATTTTAATCTCATTTGTGGCTTTAGGGTCCTTAACCTTTCTGATGTCTTTCTGGTGACTAGAGCAGCATAGTTTTCGGTTGTTGAGCCCACTTGCATTTCGACTGAAAGTGTATAGTTACAGGATTTGAAGGTCGATCCCATCAGAACACGATGACAGATTCCTCTTGACTAGCTGTTGATTGGCTTTACTGGAGCATTCTTATTGATGCTGTTGCCGAGACAATCTACTTCGAAATGGTGGGAAAAGGTGCTAAGCGTTCGCCCATCGTGTGACGAACATCATCATAGCATGCTATCATACTTGCAACAATATTCAAGTTAGCAAGCAAAGATAAATAAAAAATAAATATAAAAGAATGTACACAACAAACAATTGTACTCGCATGGCAAGATATCTCAATAAATATAAATCAGGTGATTTCTTGAAAGTTTTCTTACCAGATACTTTTGGATTACCATCAAATCGCATGAAAAATCGCTTTAGCCACTTTTGGCCGCACAACCTGATGGACTGAGAAGAAGCTTTCGGTACCAACGATAAATTCCAAATACACCCCATATATATGATATACTGGTAGTCTGAAAAGCCTACTTAGAAAACGAAAAATCCTAAATAACATTATATACCACGGTAGCCAAGTTCGATTTCTGCTAATTGGGCTAATGAGACCTGGATGAATTGGAAAGCCTTGATACGAATATCTTCTGTTAGTCAAGGCTGTGTAGAATTTAATGAAAACATGAGGCATCTTCATGACATTGTGAGAAAATTTAATTTGGGCGATCTAGGGATGTTGGGACTCTTAATCAAGATTTTTCGGCAGTCTTGAAAACCTAGATTATTCGAATATAACATTTGAGTGTAGAAATGAAAAATGAATGGTATCAAAGCACACTAATTCTGCCCAAAAAAAGTGAAATTCGCCATAACTTCTAAAGTGTAATGTAGGAATAACCGGTCTTCTACAGAGTACAATATTCAATTAAATTATTACCTTAAGATGACTTCAAATTTGATCTAATAGTCGGTTCCTACCTTCTTAGAATAGACATGCAGACAATGGACTTAATCGTATTATCCCAACGCTTTATTGGATCTCGTTTCGCAACTCGTTCATCTTTTCAGAGGGACCTCTTAGACTAGAAGCCTTTCCCCCTTTTTTTCTTCATCCAGCATCGGAATGGGCGCTCGATCAGTCAACGAGTCGAGGCTGAAGTAAGACGGGGATGCCGGACGAAGTATCCGAGCCCTCTTTGCCATGTCATGAAATCGAGATCTAACAACTGTACACTCCCTATTGGTGCACTCTACGTGAATGTTATTACATTCATCCCTTCCTTAAATGTTGTTATGACTTCGGAAAGTCTGTCTTTGATAATCGTCTTCTCTTAAAAGGCTCCCAAAGACATTTTGACCCTGGCTTAAGGGCAGGCTATAAAAATCGCATTCTAACCTTCTCTCATCACGTCTGTTTTTGCACTCGCTCCTTTCCATAGACTCTACTTAAGAACTGCTTGTGTGTTTGCCTATCGTAAGTGCGGATCTCTCAGTTCCTTATCGAAGTATTTATTAGGCAGATGATCATAGCAACTTTATCTTTCAATATAATCACTCGTCACTTAAGGCTTGTCTTGATTGAAGGCAAAAGAAGAATAACTTGCTAAAAGAGGTTGTGGTGGGCTGGAGCCAAATATTCGGACGTGAGAGGGTTAGTATCTCCTTACAGTGTTATAAATAAAAGTAGTTTGCTTTCTGAGCAAAACCAGCTCATAATGGATTCCGAGGAATCTCTTGATTTATACCTTTTTAGAATTACCTCCATTTCCAGTAAAAGTATGCGACAAAAAAATTTGATGGTAAATCACAAAAGAAGATGACGGTGAAGTCCTCTTTGTCACCTTTTGTTTGGCTTTACTGAAACATTCTGGTTGATGCTGTCATCGCGGCAATCTCCTTTGATTCCGGTGAAAACATGCTAAGCTTTCGTTCTTTGTGTGATGCAAATCATCAGATTAGAAGTTCATCCTTACAACCATATGCATGCCAACGGGTGACCAGTACATAAGAATTGTGTTGAGCCTATTTCATTTAAGGTGATGCAGGAATGCCAATTCAATTTTCCCACAATCATATGGGCATGCCTCATGTTCCCATTGCATTTCGCATAGCCTTTCCTTCCCAAAAGATATTCTCATCTAGGCTGGAGTTGACTGCAGTTTTGACCTCGCTTAAATTAGTTTCATCAACCTCCTAAACAAGACTTGAAACCGGGTTACGGCAGTACAGCTTACCTTCGCAACAGATTAGCTACTACGTATCACAGCAACAGGTCCCTTAAGTGGCAGAGCAGAATTGATGCTCAGCGATGTCTGGAAATTATGATTGTCATATTTATGCTTTATTTTATATATGGTTAGTTTTTTTAGCTTCGTAACAGTAGGTAGTAGTGCGGGATTCCAGTAGTATATTTCAAATATACCAGAAAAGACTACCATCAATTTATTTTCAGACATAAAAGTTAGAACATTTTGAAGTCAATGATTAATATGGATACGAGACAAGAGGGTAGCAACCACGAGACCTTCGTTTCGGGTGAAAATGAGCTGAGCTTTTGTCCATCATTTGATGGACATCATCAGAGCAGGAACTCATTCTTGTAAAAGTCTCACGTTAACACTACAGCAAGAAGACTTTCCGGCTATATCTTACCTCTTATATAGACTCAATTAAGACAAAAGAAAATTAAAAGGCATAAATAGATATAAAATAGTTATCGTATGTGAGTAGAGTTTCGAGATTATCACTAAATCAGTAATATGAGATGTAATCACCTTATTTCGTTTAAGGTGTCAAGCTCACATTCTGCACTGTCACGGTTCGACTCCTGCTGGGGGTGTTGTTAAGACTTATGCGAGGTCGAAACTGCAGTCCACCTCAGCCTGGAGGAGAACAACATTTGGGAATGCAAGGCTATGTGAAATTCAATGGAAACGTCAGCTCTACTCATATCATTGTGGGAAAATTCTACTACCA